AAATTTTATTTGTATAATTTCATATTAAATAATTCTTAAAAATAAATTACTTGTGATTGTTTTTCTGTGTCAGGAACTAAATAGCTCTATAAAAATGTAAGTTTAAATAAGCAAGAATAGAGGCACAGTTTATTTTCTAGGAGTCACAGACAGTGGGGAGAAACAGTGGTCCTTTATAAATAGCAAGCAGCAAACTTTGCTTTAGTTTCCTAATTTCCTTGACAAAGATCTATGTTAAGGATTCATGCCCATGTTTAAAATAACCATAGATGCTACCACGCAATTGAACAGTGTTTATGCCCCGCATGCATTCTTGGGATCATTGTGATGAAAAGTGTTAATTTAGCATGTTGTGAATAGCTGAAATTGTTTCCATTAGGCCACAGATCCCTTGACTTTTATTTTCAAGAGGAGCATCTTTTTTATTAAACATCATAAAATAAGGTATAGTTAGTAATTACTTTTATGAGCTGACAAGATGCTCTGAGCCTATTTGTAAGCAAACAAACAAAAAACACCCACACGTATTATGATTACTTGACACTTGGATTTAATGTGAGTGTGATTCAAATTGCATCTTTCTATATCCATTGAAATTGGGTCAAAGATTAATACGGGCAAGATTTTTACTACAGAGTTGTAAGTAAATGAATTGTACTCTGAAATAGTGCATTATGTCACTGTCACTGCCAGACCATAAATAGCTATTTCCTGTTGGAACACATCCTTGGAAAGCTTTAGTAGAGTTACAGCTTTTGTCTTGGAAGTTTTTAGGAAAGGTCATTATGGTAAATCCCATAAATGCTTGCATTGTTTTGTATTCTAAACAAAGGTTATTTCCCCATTTTTAAATGAAAAAAAGAAGATATGTAAAAGGATTGATGAGCAACCGTGTGCATGACTTTGTAAGTCTCTAGCACACATGATTTAATAACTTGCTCTAGGATTCTCTCAGAAAAACCCAGAAAGACTTGGATGGGTTGAGGCAAAGTGAAATGTACTGTGTACAAAGTAACAGCAACACCATAAGATGATCAGCTGTGAATGACTTAGCTCTTCTCAGAAATACAATGATCGAAGACAACTCTGAGGGACTTAGGATGAAAAATGGTATCCATCTCCAGAGAAAGAACTCATGGTGTCTGAATACAGACTAAGCATACTTTTCTTTAACTTTATTTTTCTTGAGTTTTTTTGTCTATGTTTTCCTTCACAACATGATTATTATGGAAAGGCTTTGCATAATTACACATGTATAACTTATATCGAATTGCCTGCCTTCTCAGTGTGGGGGTAAGGGGTGGGGAGGGAAGAAGGGAGAGAATTTGGAACTCAAAGTTTCAAAAATGAATGTTAAAAACTGTTTTTACAAGTGACTGGGGAAAAAATAAAATACTAAATTAAAGAAAAAAAATAACTTGCTCTAAGCAATGTCTGTAGCTCTGAATGGGAAATAAAGGAAGCTGATGGTAGAAATTACTAATGGTTGGGGGTTGAAATGACAGGCACCATACAAGATCAGGGTGAGTAAAGGATTCTAGAGAGGTAGGGAGAGTATTGTTTGAAATTGTTAACCAAAGGGCCTGGAAAGGGTAAAAAACCAACTCAATCCAGAAGAGAGGTGATAGATTAAGAGAATGGGGAGAAGGGAGTGGTTGAGATCATGATGAAAGTGAAGAATTGTTTCAGTAGGAATAAAGGAACAGGAGCAGACGATGATAATAGAAACCCTAGTCTGAGAAGAGATGCTCAGAGTTCAAGATCTTAAGAGGTGGAAAAGTTCTGCATTATAACAAGGCAAAGTGGATAAGATAAGTGTGGTAAATGAGGATAAATAGGGAAGAAGAAACTAGAAGATTAATAGATAGATTGGAATCATGTCAGTGAAAGTGACAATAAAGTGACAAAAGGACTTTAATTATCACTAAAGCTTAGAGGCATGTCTCTACAGGCAAGCAGAATTTATTTTCAAGGATAATTTGCTACATACAATAATATTAACAGTAATGTGGCTTTCACTGATATCAATAGCTAGCATTTACACAGTGTTTCAAGGTTTGAAAAGCACATTAAGCACATTATCTTCTCTAATACTTTCCCAATCCAATGAGGGAGAAAAAACAGGAATTTTTTTTTCCATTTTAGAGATAAGGAAACCGAAGCCAAGAAAGATTAAATGACTTCTCCCAATCACACCACTAGTCAAGTGTCAGAGGTGGAATTATAAACCAGGTCTCTTCTTGACTCTAAGTGCAGCACTCTCTCCACTACACCATCCATCTTCTGATACTAAGTTATCACCAGAAAATAATTCATCCTATTAAGGACTTTTCTCAAGTCCCTCACATTGCCTGCCCAGATCTAAGTGTGTTCCACCATATTTCACATTTCTCCTATACCATCTTCTCACCTCCTGCCACACATATACCCTTTAGATTCTTGACCCTGTATCCTTTGGAGTTCCTCCTCTTACCAACTCTAGTTCCAGAACCGTAATGAAATCAGTGTATGTTAATCTATTCTTCTCATCTTCTTTCCTTTCTATTCTCCTGTCAATACATCATTCCTTGTAACTTTCCAAATCATAGTACCCAACCTGGGCCTCCACTCTTAGATTTGTGTAGCCTTCCACTATTAGAATATAAGCTCTCTGAGGGCAGGGACTGCCTTTGATTTTGTATTTGTATCCCCAGAACTTAGTACAGTGCCTGGCACATAATAAGCACTTAATAAATGCTTTTTCATTCATTCATTCATATTCCCCTAGTTCCTTAACTCCAACCTAAAGGTGAAGGCAGTAAGACTGAATCAAAACAGAAATACTGAACTGATAAAATGGGGCACAGCCTAATAATTGTGAAAAAAAGGCATATAATTCTTATTGGTTACTGCTCAAAATAGTTTTGTGAAGAAGATTATTAATAATTTTCTCTTTTACAAATAGGGAAGCACAGGAATGAAATTATGTAAAGTTAATTTGTTCAAAGTCATACATAAAGTGTAAAGCTAGAAATGATAGGACATTCAATTAAATTTTGATTTGAGTTATGACACCTCAAATGAAAAATGTTCATATTAGTTTCTTCGGATATATGCCTAAAACTAGATATGGTTGCTAAACACAATAATATGTCAAACAGGGGCCTACTGCCCTTTAAAATAAAAAACTTTGAAAAAACAGAAGAACGAAAGGTACAAAACAAACAAGACAACGCATACTTACAAACGCCTTATAAATACATCCTCTGTGGAACAACAACTATGAACAGTGGAAAATAAAAAAGGAAAAATGAGAAAGGAAGGAAAAAAAAAACAAGCAATGTCTAAACATGAAAAAAAGATATGCTGTTTAGCAATGATGAAAAGTCCTGGATGAAATGCAGTAAGAGTAATCAATTTTAAAAATTTTTCTAATTCAAACAGAAGGGCAAAGGGATGCAGAAAAATGTAAACGAAATTCTAATGGATGCCATCTAATGACACCACTTCTACCTACACTGTGAGCAAAAAGCTTAAGAGACAAAGACTAGCACACCTCTTTACTCAGTTAATTTCAATATTTTTTCACTTACCCAAAATTATCTATAAGCACAATCTAATATGATATTTTTTATGCAAGCACTATTCTAAAATGCAAACATACTTTGGTCATTTTAAGTGAGTATCTTTTTCATCTACTGACATGAGAAAATTTGGATATGCTGAATCTATATACAGATTTTTTTGCTTTCAAAAGATATGTCCTAATCTACAATGAAACATTATGATATGACTCAGCTTAGGCAAGCCAAGGTGCTCTCACAAATTAAGAAGTCAAACTACATTTTTCTGATGATAACCAGGATCATTTGGGGCTAACCACTTAGTGAATTCTGGAGAGAAGTCTGATGGACAGCTGAAAAAATCATTTTGGACATTTGGTTCCAGTTATGATAGAGATTTTTCCTAAGCTGATTATAAAGCACCTTATCCTAACAGGCAGGCAAAGGCCTATATAGATTTTTAAAAACTCTTTTTTTTGTATTAGGAGAATAAAGAAAAAATGATCAGAAGAGAAGCCAATCTGGCCTCCCACAAGTTTGTTTCAGAAGGAGGTAGAGCAGCATTAGAATTTAGGGTTAGAGTAGGAGTCAGAGAGAGAGGATTAGAGTTCTCAGGGTGGGGGGGGGAAGGCAGGGAAGAAGGGGAAGAAGAGGAAGAAGTTGTATACATTATATTCCTCAGGGACTTCACAACAATTATATGCCTATGGTGTACACCTGCTAGACACGCCTGTTTGGTTCCATAAATCTCTTATGGCCATCTGTGAATGTGCGTCCACATTCCTTGTGGACATTTTATATCCTTTAAATTAGCCCAAAACATAGGAATCATAGACTCACAGAATGCAAGAGGCGTAGGGGACCTTAGGGGACACTTTGTTCAACTCCCTTCATTTGAAAAGTAAGGAAACTGAGGATCCAGACAGGGGAAACCCTTTGTCGAGATCATAGAGCTTAATCCCAGCAAAACTGGGATGCAGACCAAATGGCAATTGGAGAGAGCACATCAAGGTTTCCATGTTGCTTTCCAAATATTATTTAACTGAAGCATCACAACAGGCCATGAGGTGGGTGTCGTAGGATTGATTATTCCTGTTTTACAGATGGCAAAGCTAAAGTGTAGAAAAATTAAATGAGCTGCCCTTGGTCACCCAGTGGGATCTAAGCTGGAGCCTCCCTGCACGGGGAGCCTTCTCTCCACTCCAGCACGTGACCTGCCCCAGGCCTGGAACCAAAGCTTCACTCCTCCCCCTTCAGTATTCTTTCATTATAAGACTTTTATAAAATGAAAACTTCATTATTTGCTGTACATTTGGGATGCTAAATTCTTCTTCAAAATAATAGTTAAACACTGTGGAGCTAACTCATATTTCAGAACAATGGAAAAACTAGTATTAATCAGGGCTTAACAAGGGAAATAAAGGATCAGAAAATTAATCTTCTCTTGGGAAGACTCACTTTTTTTGTGAAGTAATAATGTGGTACCTCAATACCCAGAAGAGCCTGGTAGGCAGAAGGCCGCGGAAAGCTGTCTTGAAGCAAGAGGCCATGTTCTTCAGTGCTGAAGAATGATACAATCAAAACATCTGCCTGGAAGGGGGAGAAAAAGTATTGTTTTGGTTTTAATGTGGCAACATTTTTTTAAAATTTTGTTTTTATTTTACATTTTCACTTGCCAGAATCCACTTAAGAGGAAAACACACACACACACACACACACACACACACACACACACACACACACACACATAGATGCAGCTTCCTCACTAAAGCAAAGGACCAAAACACCATTCTACATTTTTTCCCCCTTACAGCAAAAGGAATGATCTCCCTGAAGAGAGAAAACATAAACAAACTTGGGTCTTTTTCCTGTCAAGATCCTCTATTTTGTTTTCAAATAGATATCTATTCCTAAGTCATTTTCCTTCTATACTTCCATGCCCCCATGATCTCACTGATTTCAGACTGGTGTCAACATTCCCTCCACTGGTTTGTGAATTATAGTCCATCTCTACCTTCTCATTCTCAATAATTCTTTTCTGTTCCTTTTCATAGATTCTGTATACATAGACATACCCAAGATACTAGAGGCCTTCCACTGTTTTAAAAAAAGACATATACATACATGCATATACACATATATGTGTGCGTATATATTATTTATGTATTTAGACATGTGGGTGTAGTTCCGGTGCAATACCTGTATTGTCTATCCATCTGTTTGCTCTTAATCTCTCTATAAGACTAGCCTACTTCCTCTTCTAGTCATACACACCCTTCACTGTGACATTTGTCACATACCAGGCATCACTGGTAATTTGCTAGAACCTACTCGTTGAGTCACCTGAAGTTGTAATTCTTCTGAGATCATGATTTGTAGCCATATGGCATCATTACAGAATATTGGTGTTTAAAAAAAGATGGGTTTTGTCACGATGAGACACTTGAAGCCATTGAAAAATGTGCATAATTCTCCAAATTAAATATAGCTTGATATTCTTATCCTATTCAATTCCGGGAAAAGAAACTTGTCAAGACATATGTACTGATGGTCACCTATCTAATGGCATGTCATAATTTGGGAACTATGTACTCTTCATCTAATTTGTTTTTCCTGTGTAGCTGGCTTGGCCAAATTGTTTAAGTGGCTGTGGATCTCACTGAGGAGGTACTGCATTGTTAAAGGTTTTGATGCAATCAACACAACATCAGTTGCCAAGGAGTGTTGGCAAGGCTTGTTGTTTCCTAACATCTCTTGAATACGCCCCCCTTCTCTCCTCTGATACTGCCACCCCCTTAGTGCAGACCTTCATTTCTTCATGCCCGGAGCCTTACACTAGCCTGCTGGTGAGTCTGCTGCCACAAGTCTCTCCCGACTCTAGTCCACTCTCCACTTGGCTGTTAAAGGTGATCTTCCTAAAGCACACATCTGACCATGTCATCTCCCTACTCAGTAAACTCCAGTGGATCCCTATCACACCTCCAGGATCAAATACAAAATCCTGTTTGGCATTCAAAGCCCTGTATATCCCAGGGCCCCACCCCCTACCTTTCCAGTCTCCTCACACCACTCCACAATATTTTTGACGCAGTGACACTGGCTTCCTGACTGTTCTTCTCATAAGACATTCCACTGGCAATTCCCCATCCCTGGAATGGTCTCCTTCCTCATCTCTGCCTCCCAGCTTCCTTCAAGTCCTAGCTGAAATCCCACCTTCTAAAGAAAACCTTTCTCAATAACTGTTAATTCTAGTGCCTTCCTTCTGTTGATTATTTCATAAACACACACACGTATATATGTATATACATATATGTGTGCATATGTATGTATACGTGTATGTATGTATGTATATATGTGTGTGTTTGCATATTGTCTCCCCGACTAGACTGTGAGCTCCTTGAGGGCAAGGACTGTCTTCTGCCTTTCTTTGTATCCCCAGCACTCAGCACAGTGCCTGACACAGGGTAGACACTTAGTAAATATTTATTGACTGACTCTGTAGGTCTCAGGAAATTATGTACCTGATGATATAGACTGCTGGAAGAAGATTAGTTGCTATTGCCTTCTCTTTTTCATCAAGGATATCCCTGATGTGTGTATAGCTCATCCTTATCAAAATATTATAAAGGGCAGAAAGTAGACATATAGGTCACTTGCTGATGTCTTCAGTCTCTTTAGAAAAAATAATAAAAGTACCACCTTTGGTCTTTTGCATTTTTTGGAAATCTTCCACTATTGGAGACATCTTGAAAGTCAGTCTTTAACAATTAGAGCAACTCAACAACATCCTCTACTGCTTCACCACCAACCCCATGAAGCTCACTCAGGAAAGTATATCCTTGATACCTGTAGAAATGATTGACTTGTACCAGCGGTTAGAGCAGCACCAACTGCCCAACCCACTGCCATGTTTCCTGTCTGCTTTAAAGGTGCATAGGGGGCTGCCTTCCTAAGACTGAACAACTTCCTCCTTGACCAGCTCAGCAGCCAACCAGACCCCTGACATATTCATATACTCAGCAGAGGATTATAAAAACAACTGGCTCCAGATCTGCCTTTCCATCAAGTCTGGAGCAATATGAAGCAGCATCTCTTGCCTGGCCCCTCTCATCACTCAGTTCTCTTTGTAGAGGAGGAATTCTTCAGGGTACCACTGACAATTTCATATAAACAAGGCTTTTTGGATCCATTTTGAATGGATCTGAAGAAGAGATTTGAGAAGATAACTCAACCTAACTTGGTTGCAGAGGTGGGAGGCCAGTGGAAGTGGGACACTGCACATATTTACAGATTTGTTTTTGAAGTATTGTTCAGTTTTCCTGATTTTTTTTCCTTTTCCAATTTTTGCCCCTCCATAATAAATATCATTTATTATGTGGAATGTCTCTCTGAGGGTGTGGAGGAGGAATACTGGGAGAAATTCTGGTGATGGGGGGGGATAAATATTAAATAAAATGTACTTTAAAGAAGGCTAAAAAAAAAGTCAGTCTTTAAGCATATTTAAAATTATATACTTCCAAGATGTTTTGAATGATTGCACAAGTATAACCTATATTACCATCTTAGGGAAGGGGAAGGAGTAGAGGAGAGAATTTGGAACTCAAAATTTTAAAAAATTAATGTTAAAAATTCTCTTTATATGTAATTGCAAAAATATTATTAAAAAAATAAAATTATATGCTTCCAGCATGGATTTTTTTTCTACATGCATTATGTCAGGTTCACCTACTCTTCTCAAACTCGTCTTTTTAGGAACTATTGCCAGGATGAAGCCAAAATGGTGAATTAGCAAGAAGAAGCTCAGCTGAGCTTTATACCACAACTCCTCAAAACAGATTTAGAAAATACCCTTGAGTCTTCACAGAGAGATCTCAGCAATACACATTACAGTAGGGAGAAATGAGAACTCTCAGGCTAGGTCTAGTTCATAATGGCAGCAAAGAGCCCTTCATTTCAGGGAGAGGCGGTGTCCCAGGGCAAAGAGAGATCGCGAATACAACAGAGAGGGGCCAACATTTGTGCAGAGTCCCAACTGGCAGCTTTATTTCCTACTACCCAACACTGGGTCATAGATCCAGGACTGAATGAGGAGGTGACCTGCACCTAGGGGTGGAGCGAGGAACAGTAGCAGGCCTTAAACTGCATACTGAGCAAGGAGTGATTTCAGAAGCAAACTACAGTCCTATGACTCTGACCTAAGGAGGTGAGGGGGAGGTCTTAGTTCTAGTTCCTATGCCAGTCTGAAGCCTTCAGTGGAATAAGTAGGGCAGGAATCCCAGAACAAAGGGAGCTTCAATTCTTTCACTCTGAACCAGCACAGTTTTCCAGTTGACTGTTAGTAGCTGAGTCTAGGAACAAGCCCAGAGGTGTGTTGCTGAAACCAAAATCTAGGTCAGGAACTTGCAGAGTTCATACCAAAAGAGCAGGCATCAGACCTTGCTAGGATTAGACTATTTTGAAGTTAAGCTCGCAGATCTTCAGACTGCCTAGTTCCTGAGACTCTGGAATAACACAACATTTAATGCTCCAAGAAAGCAGCAGCAAGACCCTAGAGGTCACAAGCTCAGTTCCAATACTCCCTCCAAAAGAGTAAAGAGTCTGACTCTAACATAAAATCTAAAGTCAGAAAGTAGGGTGGAAAAATGAGCAAATGAAAAAAAAAAGAATCCCACCATAAAGAGCTATTATGATGACAGGGATGCTCAAGACATAAACCCAGAAGAAGAAAATGACTGCAACATAGCTTGGGAACAATTCAATTAGAATTCCTGGGAGGGATGAAGCAAGAGCTTTAAAAAGAGTTTAAAATATTTTTATAAATAAAAGTGCTAAAAAATTTTTGGAAAAGAAATGAAAGCCATGGAAGAAAGAATTAGAGAAAGATTTAATACCCTGGCACAAGAGACACAAAACCTTGCCTAGGTGACTAACTCCTTGAAAACTGGAATAGCCCAAAGAGAAGATAATGACTGTGAGACAACAAGTAATATTAAAACAAAGTCGAAAGACTGGAAATATAGAAGAAAATGTAAAGTATCTCATAGCAAAAACTATTGACCTGGAAAAGAGATTGAAGAAAGATTATTTAAGATTCACTGGGCTACCTGAAAGCCATGACCAAATAAAGAGGCTAGACATCATATTTCAAGAACTGTTTAGGGAAATCTGCATAGATCTCTTAGAACCAGAAGGCAAAGCAGAAATAGAAAGAATCCACTGCTGTTTTCCTGAAAGAAATCCCCAAAATAAAAACCGCTAGGGATATTATAGCCAAAATCTAGAAATTCAAGGTCAAAGTAAAAATACTGTACAAGCAGCCAAATACAAAGAAAGAAAAGAAAGAAAGGATTTAAGAACTGAGCAGCTACAATCAGGACTGCACCAAATTTAGAAGCCACTACTATAAAGGAATGGAGAGCTAAGAATATTAAATGCCAGAAAGCAAAGGATATAGGCTTACAGCCAAAAATAACTTACCCAGAAAAACTGTGTATAATCCTATAGGAGAAAAAAAAATGGAACTTTAAGTAAACAGAGGACTCCCAGGTATTTCTGAAGAAAAGCCAGGGCTGAGTAGAAACTTTGAAGTGCAAACACAGGAGTCAAGAGATACATAAAAAGGTAAATATGAATGGACAACTCTAAGAGACTAAACAAGGATACACTGTTTACATTATAACATGGGAAGATGATGCATGCGTCCCCTCAGAACCCTATCAAAGGTCATAGAGAGAGTCTAAACAGAGGATCTGGGAATGGTTCTTCTATGTTTTGATGATCTTAAAAGAATGGAAGGGGACAAGAAGAGGAATAAAAGGGGGCATAAAAGAGAAGATGGATGGGGAAAACTGTCTCACATAACTGAGATTCACAAGTATGTCTATACAAACATGGAAGAAGGGATGGGTGAACAGCTGACACTTGAACCTCACTCTCATCTGAACTGGTCCAAAGGAGGGAAGAATATACACATGAACAGTTAGGTACAGAAATACATTTCACTCAACAGGAACACTCCTATGTCAAAGAGGTACACAGGAGGGTAAGGGAAGAAGGGAGATGGGAGAATAAGAGGGAGAGTAAGTTAAGTATTTATATACTTGAATAGTACTATACTACATACACTATATAATATAAATAGTAAGGCATTAGTCCTAAGCAAAACAAACTCTTAACTAAGAATGTGCAAAAATATTTATAGGAGCTTTTTTTGTTGTGGTAAAGCATTGGAACCTGAGTGAGTTCCCATCAATTAGGGAATGGCTGAATAAGTTACGGTAAATAAATGTGATGGAATACTATCGTACTGTAAGAAATGATGACAGGGATGATTTTACAGAAACCTGGGAAGATGTTCATGAACTGATACAAAATGAAGTGCGCAGAACTAGGAGAACAATTTGTATGATGACAACAATATTGTAAAGACAAAACTCTGAAGGACTTAATAAGAACTCTGATCATCACAATGACCAACAATGATTCCAGAGAACTCATGTTGAAACATACTAGCCATCTCCTGATAGACAGATGATGGACTCAGAGTATAGACTAAGACATTTTTCTGGACATGGACAATGCTGGAATTTTTTTCCTTGATAACATATAGGCACTTTGTTTTTCCTTCTTTCTTAACTGAAGGTGGGAGGTAGAATATTATTGATTTAAAAAATGATGTAAAAAATAAAATGAGAGGGTTAGTTAGATTAGTTGACCACCAAGGCCCCTTCTAACTATATAAAAAATAAAAAGTTCTACAACATTTGTAGAACCTAATATCTAGCAAAAAACTACCTCTGTGACAGTTAACAATTCTTGAAATTTTAAGAAGTCATTCAGGTGAGAAATTGTGAGTAAAAGAAAATTGAAAAGGGACATTATTTTTGGAAAACAATGGGATTTGAATCATCGATCAAATCATTAAAATTATTAAAAATCAATCAATCATTAAAACATAAAAAAGAACCTTTGCCACACAGGAAAACAATGTGTTGTTATGATGTCTGAGATTGTATCATGTAAGGACTTCCCTAGGGGGTCAACGGAAGGCATTCCAACATAATAATCTATTGCTGATCTTTGAAACCAGAACCTTTCAAATACAAATAGACATTTTGTGGAAGAGCATGATTTGTCATCTATGAGTTGACCCAAATCATTTTTGGAGGCTATATTAAGACTTTTTATCTAATATTTTCAAGGAATAAGGAATATGTGATCTTCCAAAACTTTGAAGCTTAGAAGTACACAATTTTTTTTATTTCAATTGAAATTCTTTCTAAATTATATTACCAAATTCCCTGCCTCCTTAAAATAGTTTACAGTGGGGATGGGGGGAGGGGTGAGATGGGGCAAAAATTTGGAACTCAAAAACTTGTGGAAGTGAATGCTGAAAACTAAAATAAATAAATTTATATTAAAAAAATAAAATAGTTTACAGTGAACATAAGTTTGCCTTTTCTTGGTGATTTGGGGTCTTTATTATACTGTATTGTGTTGTATGTAACACAGTAATGTTCTACAAGGGTTACTGAGAGGTGTATGGGGATATGTACTCCTATACTAAATGGCCCAAGATTGCTACACTGTTGTTATTTCTCCACTCCATTGCCAGTCTGTTAGCTCTCACCTCTCATTACATAGGTGTGTCTGCCTCTAACAGATCTTCCTTCTCCCTCCTACCCTTTCTAATCTGCTAAGAGCTGGGAAATAACATATGCAAGCTTTTGAGAATTATATGTAAATAAGGGTAAGAATTTAATTCAAGAGGCTTTGAGAGAGAGTCTGAATTTCTCATTTAAGTAACAAACTGCCTGGGTTTTGCCGGGGGTTTTTTTTTCTGCTTACTTCCAGGTTCTGCTATGTTCTAGATGATGAAAGGGGCTAGACTGCAGGATAAATGGACCATCTTACTGATCTTTACTTACAGTGCTTCTTATAGTAATGAGTCATATTAGTTTAGCACCTATTATATAAACTGGTAATTCCATTTATTTTCTTCAAATTTGCCTCTTTCAAGTTTTAGGCCAATAAGGTAGGATCTTTTACTTTGTGTATCTGTCTTTACGCCTATGTCACAAATTGGCTAATGTTATGCTCTAGTTTCTTCCTTTTTGAAGCTGTTGGCAGGGTCAAGTCAAACAGTAGGAAAATAGGGGACAAGGAACAAGTATAATGCTGGTCAGATGGTGGTTCACATCTATAAAGCCCTTATCAAATGCTTTGGTCATCTTTCAATTACATCTTTACAACCAACACCTTCTGATCTTTACTCTCCTTGTCATGGTAAATTCAGAATGCCACAGACAAAATAATCTTTATCACTAATCATCATTAACACCTTCCAGGCTGCCCACTTTCATACTCACGAATCACATTACGATAATGTCACATAACGACACTGGCTCCTTGCAAGACTAAGTCAGTAAGACAGAGGAGAGAAGTACCATGCTACTAGAATTCTCCGTGAGTGGCTGCTTCTTTTCAGCAGGTTGCTGATGGGGAGTAACAGCTTCCTGGACTGCTTCACATACAAAAAGTCTTGGCTCACTCTGATCCCAGAAGTGGCTGATTGGAACATGATCAAGTAGACTCAGATCCCCCAAAATAGGATTCCTAGATGGAAAAAAGGAAGAAATATCTGTAATACTAGGAAGAATATTACTACTACATTCACTTCATGAACTTCAACAAGGCCTAAACTAAATAGCAACATAACATAGTCTCATATTTTCCGTAGACTACCAACTTAGATACTCAGACTCTATGTGTTGCATTGGTCCTCACTTCATTACTTTTAGTCAAAAGTAATAAAATTATGAAAATCTGGTGTCTCTTAAATTAAGAATAAAAACTATAAAAGAACATATTAGATTTTTATCTAGAATGATGTAATAATAATGGGCACTTATAAAGCACCTTAAATTTTATTAGCACTTTACTTGCATAATTATAGTTGTACAACTTGTTATAGCCATCACTGCAATGCATTTATTTCTAGAACCTTTAAGATATTTATGAGAACATTAGAATAAAGGAACACCCACTTTTCGGATAATGGCTGAACAAATAATGGCATATGAATGTAACGAAATATCATACAAGAAATAACAAAAGGGATGGTTTCAGAGAAACCTGGGAAGACTTGTATGAACTGATGCTGAGTGAAGTGAGCAGAGCCAGAATAACCCATATGTCAACAATATAAAAATTATGATAATAAAAAAGCAACATATAAAAATTTAAGAACTCTCATCAGTGCAATGCCCAACCATGATTCTAGAGTATTACCAGAGGGGTGATTCAAGATGCAGAGTAAGACACACCTTTTTGGGCACTGACAATATAGAAATCTGTTTTTCTAACAACGTCTATTTTCTACAAGGATTTAACTTTTATTTTCTTTCAATGGCGGTGGGGTAGGTAGAGCTAGGAGGGATAGAGGAATGACGATAGGGCTGCCCCCCAAAAAAGGAAAGAAGGTATATTGAAGCATTTTTTTAAAAAATGCACAGCAGAGACAAAGAAGGTCAGAATCATAGAAAAGCAGGGAAGCTTTGAAAGACACATACTGAACCTATGTACTTTTAAATAAAACTAGGCTATAATGTGCTGAAGATTTGCAGTTTTATGTACATCCTCTTCTATTCTACTGTGTATAAGGAATTGCTCATTTCATTTGGTATTTGTTAAATTGAGAATTAATTTTTTTTAAAACAATACAGACACTTCTTTGAAATGGTATAATAAAAACAGTAGGCATTTATATAGCTCTTTCAAGTTTCCTAACCTATTACATACATTATCACATCTGACCTTAAATGTATCTATAAAGAAAAATGGTAATGGTATTATTATCCCAGTTTTACAGATGAAGAAACTGAGACTGAGAGATTTATTTAAGAGACTTTCCAAGGGTCAAATTTTTTTTTTCAAGTTTAGCTAAGGGTCAAATAAGTATAAGAGGTAGCATTTGAAATGAGGTAAAATCTCCTTGAATCCAAGTCCAATGCTTTATCAATCATGCCACATTGACTCTATAGGTGAACCCTGCTTTGAGGCTGAGGATCAGAGAATATTCTTTTCCCAGGACCAGCTGGTACAAACACTCAGTTGTACAGTGAACTCTGCTGGGCAGTATCTGATGCTACAGCTTAGGGCTTTCAACTTAACCAAGTATATAAAACACAGTCCACCTTCACGCTGACCTTTACTCTCCCCTCCCCACTTCCAAATGGTTTGGATAAAAAAATAAGGACAGTTTTAGTTAGGGAATGGTCTGAAAATGGCATTGTGGCAAGCTTAGCCCCAAAAGAAAAGATATGAAAAGACACTTCCTCCCATTCCCCCATGAATGTGGATGAGGGTGGGTGGCAGGGCCAGGGGAAGAAGGGAAGGGCCATTGGTGTAGAACACTGCATATATTGTTACTTTTTTTTATGTATTGCTGGATTTTGCTGATTTTTTTTCTCCCTCTTCTTCCCTCCCTTAAATTTTTTTTTTATTATAAAGGATGACTTTTTAGGAACGGGAAGGAGTACTGAAGGAAATTTAGTGAAGTAAAAAAATATATCAATAAACATTTATATAGAAAAAAGAAAACAATGTGAGAAGATAGAGAAGAAGAGAATGACAATGACAAAGAGAATGACAAAGAAAGCAGTGATAAAAAAGAATAAAACATTTGTATTTGAATTGAAAAAATATTTTAACTTTTTTGAAATACAGTAATTTTATGAAATCATTTTTAGTATATACCTACATGATTTCTCCTTTCCAAGAAATTTTAACTTAAATAAGATATTTATCCCCTAAGATGCAACGGAAAAAGCACTGAACTAGAAGGAGGGAGATGAAGGTCTGCTACCCTGTTAACTTCCCTGTTAACTAACCACAAGACGTCAGATGAGCCATTTAGCCCCTTCGGGCCTTGGCGTCTTTACTCAGACTCCTAGGGAAATTCTAGGCAGTGTTGTGAAAAGGACAGTCTCTGGCAATCCTTAAAGACTTGCACGGTTTCAGCAACAACGTGTCAGTCACACCCGCTTTATTACATTCCTCTTTTTTTTCTTTCTTTTTTTTTGACAAGTTATTAAAAGGGTATAACGGCAATAAATGCTAGTAATGCAGGATACCTGAATTTCAGCAAGGGATTTGGCAAAAATTTCTTATGCTATCCTTGCTAAGAACAAGACAGAAATGTGAGCTCAGTGTGGTTGGGCAGATTTGGACCTGGTTGAATGACTTGAAGCAAAAAAGGTCATTAATGAGTCAGTGTTGAAAATTTCCAGTATTGTAGGATGCTAAGGATCTTCATTTACTTCTGTGCCATTAATATTTTCATTAAAAACTTGAATTAAAGCACAGTGGTATGGTTGTCAAAGCTGCAGATGACATGAAACATGGGAGGGAAGGGAGAGATAACATGCTAGAAACAGGATCCAGAAATATCTCAACAGGTTATATAGAGCTATGGCGTTAGAAATGTAATCAAATGGAATTTAATAGGCATTAATGGAAAGTCCTATAGTGGGGTTAAAAGAAATCAAGTATATATGTCTAGGATATGAAGGGAAGCAGGGTTTAAAAAAGATCTGGGGGTTTTGGTTACCTGAAAACTCAATGAGTCAAAAAGGTTACAAAAAAGATAATAATAACAATTTTATCATTTACATAGAACCTACTATGTGTTAGACACTACGCTTAGTGCTTTACAAACATTATTTCACTTGATCCTCACAACAACCCCCAGTGGGGGGTTACGATCCCCATCTTACAGTTGAGGAAACTGGGGCAAACAAAGGTTAAATGACTCTTCCAGGGTCACATATCTAGGAAGTGTTTGAGGCTGGATTTGAACTCAGGTTTTCCTGACTCCAGACCCAGTACTCTATCCACTGTGCCATCTAGTTGTATTATCTGTAATTATAGGCTACATTAGAAGAGGCATGTAGTCTGGAACAAAGTGGATGAGAGTTCTGCTTGTACTGGGCTCAAGTAGGGCCATATCTGGAACATCATGTTCTTTTAGGGCCAATATCTTGACTCTTACGTATTACGGCTCAGGGGCACAGACGTGTAACTACAGACTCTTCCCAACAGCAGTTTCAGACTTCCTTCCCTAGAGAGATGGTGTGACATAGCAGAGGGGGCTGTAGTCAAGCAGAACTGGGCTAGAGTTTACTTCTGACATTCACTATCTGTTTTTTGTAGGCAAATCATTTAGCCTCTCTAAAACTTGCTTTCTTATATCTGTAAAATGGAAATAATATCTACAGTACCTGATTCACAAGATTATTGTGAAGTTCAAATCACACACACACACACACACACACACACACACACTCTATATTCTATATATGTATTAATAAAATATATAAAAATATAGATATATACACATATATATTTGTGTGTATATACACAGGGCTTTGCAAACTGTAAAGCACCATATAAATGTCAACTATTATTACTTTTGTTATTATTCCTTCCGGTGGTAGTCTAGCAGTCACACAACTAATGCCTGTCTCTATAGGGAAGTGCAAATAAAAAAGTTCTCAAACAAGATACACTGTCCAGAAGTTGGAAAATGGTAAATTGTAATATTCTAAAAATTATTCAATACACCCAAACCAAAATTTCTTACTTATTATTCTCTTCTCCCATAAAGGAGAATGCTTCTTTTCCAGCAGTCTGTCCAGTCTTGAAGTCGAAGAAAGTTACTGTATCCATTTCAACATCATAGAAGCACATTTTGGAATCAAGACTATTGTCAGGCTATTGGGAAAAAGAAAAAAAAAGACAGCTCATGTATACTGATTCCATTACCTAAGTGCATTCGTTCTAGGTCTTTTGTGCTGCAGATTAGGAGATCGATCCTAAGGGCAGAAGAAGTATATTTTACATTATTTTGGCTCACTGATTACTCAGATTTTCAGGGAGCAACATTCAGGTACATCTGGTGCCTTTCACTTTTTAAGCCTTAAACTACGATAGTCATTAAATTATTTTTCATAACTGATCACTGTTTACAATGAATAAGAAAACAGTATGAAGATTTCTGAATATCAAACTAGTTCATTAAACTATTATCACAATTTATTTGGGATGCTCTCGAAGTAGAAGTGGCCAGAATCAAAGGGACATAGAAAAAATGTGGGTTTTGATTCAGTATTGCCAGAGACATTTTTCCCCCTAGGGCTTAACAGCCATGACAATTAGGAATCCTTTACTCCTGGTTGAACATTCACGTGCCCTCTCTTCTCACCCTCTTTCACCTATGTCTCCACTCTTCGGCATCCTTCCACTTCTTCCACTGTTGTCTTCCATGCTATGTCCCTGTCACTATGTCTATTACTTATCACAGTTCTTTTTTACTCATCACATTATTTTATTACATTCTTATTCCTTGTATGTGTGTATACATGTGCATCTGTGTATGTGCATGTGTACAACTTGAAACTAAAAAAAAAAATAACAGGGAACCAGGTTGATTTGAACAACATCTTTTCTCCCTATTTTGACATTTCTTCCTTCCATTCCCAAATGGCATCTAAATAAGTAGATTTTGTATAAAAAATACAAGTCTCATACACAGCTGTGAAAACCAATACAATCAAAACACAATCAGATGAAATCCTTGGGTTATGTCGCTCCCCTTCCCCTCAAAAAGCAATACTACGGGAAGCCAGGTGGCGCAGTGGATTGAGCACGGGCCCTGCAGTCAGGAGGACCTGCGTTCAAATCCAGCCTTAGATCAAATACTTGACACTTATAGCTGTGGGACCCTGGGCAAGTCACTTAACCCCAATTCCCTAAAAAACAAACAAACAAAAGCAATACTAGATTGAAAAACAGAGATGAACAGATATTTGAAAACTCTATTTTCTGAGATTTGCAGATATTACAACTCCTACACCATGGTGGGGCAGGTAATCTTAGGTTCTGGAATGCTAAGCCGGCAAAGGCCAAGCGTTCACAGGTTTCCCCTGGCTAGAAAGGCTTTGAGGAAGGCCCCAGCTACAGACTATTTTCCAAGAACCAACCTAGCTAAGTACGGAGAGATCCATCACCCTTAGGATGCCCATTTAATGGTGAATTATTTATATGCAACAACCTAGGAAAGAAAGAATGCAAAATGGCCCTTAGATCCATGTGGCAGTCTTCTGCTTCTGACAGGGGCTGAGCACTAAGAATCACATCATTTTAGACAGGCATTCAGCAATTTTTGTGTTATGGACTTCATGGAACCCTTCTCAGAATAATGCTCTTAAATGCATAAAATAAAATATGCAGGATTACCAAGAAACTAATTATACTGAGAAAGTTATCAAAGTACTGGATAAAACCTTAAGTTCACAGGCCCTAGGTTAAAAAACCCTGTTTTACGCTATTAAAAGCATTCAGCTGTTGGTAAGTATGATATACTTCTAAAATGACAGATGAGTTGACATACTATAGCAGGAACTGAATTGTAAGAATCTGGGCATTCTCACTAAAAAAGAAACCAGAAGACAAAAGGAAGCTGCAGCCAAATGGGTGAATGGTTTACAGGCTTTCCTAAGGAAAGACAAATAAAGGAGCTGGTAGAATCGGCTTTACTGAGTATCCTGAGGCAACAAGAAGCATCATTTGATGAGGTATTTGGTCAATTTATATTGCAGCACTCATAACAAACATATGCAAAAATATTACCATAAAAAAATTGCAGCTTATGCTCCAACATCTGTTGTAGAGGAAGTAGAGAAATTCTATTAAAAAGTTAACAAAAAGTCTCCAAATTAAATCAATACATATTTTGAGATCCAAGACTAATATAATAGTGGGCACATGGGCTTAAAAAAATGTTAAAAAATAAAAGGGAGAGGCCAAAGATTTAAAGATTGAGCAAAAGCCTCAGGCCTACACAGTTTGAAAACTTCATTTACATAAATGGTGAGGAGGCCCCAGACATGGCAAAAACTAAATAACAAAACTGAACATAAAAGACTGAAATAGAAGACAACACCAATGTGGGAGTCATGTCTGTTGGGTGTTTACTGTAACTCCTGTTCACTAGAGCAAAGAGCAAAATGAATGCCAAACTATTTGGAGAAGAAAAAAAAAAGCTATAGCTTCTAGTTAAAATAATTCCAACCTAATATTCTTCAAAAAATAAGTTTTATTGAATAAATACTTAAATACTTAAGAAAATCCCAAAATACAGTTATTGCATCTGACCACATAGCAACATTCCACGTCTGCAGTCTCCAAACCTGCAAGTACAGTTAGAGGAAGGCATGATTCATTATCTCCTCAAACAATTACTTAATAAGCATGCATTGAGAGAGACAGCATGGTGCAGTGAATAGAGAGCTGGCCTCAGTCTGGAAGAACTGGATTCAAATCCATTATTGGATGTTGCTTAATCTAATCTGTTTCACTGTGGGGTTTCTACTACTATACCCCCTTCCTATGAATATCAATTTAAGAAGGAGACAGCATAGTGTAGTGGGATTTGTTGTTTTATGTCCTAAGTTAGGAAGCCCAAGCTGTCTCCCTCCCTTTACTTTCACCATTCCCCTCTTCTATGGCCAGTATAATCTATTCTTGGATCTGTGGTCCCTTACCCCTCAGTTGCTAACCACTATCAGGGGCTCATATACCTCTTCTTGTGGACTAGGATCAGGGATGTGCTAGTAAATGTTTAACAACTTGACCTCCAAAGGGAAAAAAGTAAGCAGGACAAACTTTCAAGTTTAATTTTCATGATTACCATTTTTTTTCTATCACTTTCTTAAAACTAGACAATCAACAAGAAAAAAAAATAAATTAAGCCCTGATTTGTAGCACTTGTTAATTTCCAAAGTGTACATGCTCACATTAAAAATTTAACAATTGGCTCTACTGAAGTCATTCTAAGCTTCCTGGAGAGGAGGTATCCACGAGAAGCATGGCCTTCCTTAGAGAAGATGGTCTCTTAAGTTTCCCATACACCCAAAAGAAGATCTAGTATGGAACTCCTGTCACTCTATTCTGTGGGAACATGCTTCAATGGTGCTACATCATTCCCCATTCTACAAAAAGACAATCCACCCATTTCTCTTGACCTTTGTCTCTCTTTTCCATCGATTTCACTGCTCCCTATGTTCAGTGAGAGACTAAAGAAATTCTATTCCCTTTTTTCTCTTTTCACTCAAGCTAAGAAGGATATTTCTAGCTTTCCTCTGTGTCCTGCCTCTCCTTATTCCATTTGAGTGACTTTTTTGTTAGTCCTTCCATTAAAAAAAAATGATTCACTTTAGGAGAATTTAGATTTTAGCCCATGGAATATGAAATCAACTCTTCCTTCTCCTCTTCCACTAATTCTCTTCAGCCTCTTATCCTTTTGTGCTTCCTTTTTGTTTTCTCTTTAACAGCCTCATCTTACTCTGGAAGAATGAGAAGTGAATTCATTGCTTAGTTTTGTTAGCAGTACACTTACTTATCTTCTTTGTTTCCCTTGCTTGGGTATAATGGTAAGTCAAACGTTCTGTTTATCTCTGTTACATTTGAATGAATGACTCAAATGCCTCTCCTTTGTTGAAGGGGTATTTTTAAAATTGATTACTAGGTTCAGCTTTGCAGGATATTATTTTGGGGGTGTATCTTGATTTGATTTTCAGAATAGCAAATTTCATTCTTTGACATGACATCATAATATAGATGAGGAGTAGGACTAGGATATTAGTACTGAAACTGACTTTCCTTCACAGATAAAAGACTTGGTAGCTTATCAACAATAATAGGAAAAAAATAACAATAGGTAGCATTTGTATGGCACTTCAAGATTTGCAAAGTTTTTTTATATATGCTAGGTCATTTGATCTTCACAATTAAACCATGTCTGGCAAGTGTTAGCATTATCCCCATTTTACAGATCAGGAAACTGAGGCAGTCAGAGGTTAAGTGACTTGTCCAGGGCCAGTAAGCTAGCAAGTATCTGAGGAAGGGATTTAACTAAGGTTGTCTTGTTTCCAAGTTTAGTACTATATCCACTGCACCACTTAGCTGCCTCTATAACTTGTTTCACACTGAAACTCTGGAATTTAACCACTCTATGTCTCAGGGGGTTCTCTTTGCCAGTGATCTGGGGATTCTAACCGTTAGCACCTTGCTTTCTGTTTTTTATACTTCTAGACAATTTTTTTTATCATATTCTTCAATGTGGTATTTACAATTTTAAAATTTCATTATTTTCTGAGAGATAGATGATGTTTAAACTCTCCTTGTACATGTGGTTATCAAAGCCCCTTGTGTTAGTCTGTTCCTCTGTTCTTCCAAAGTTGTTATCGTTTGCTTTTGTTCTGCCAAATTTTCTTCCACCTCTACATTTCTGAGCTCCAAATCTGTTTTTCAGTACTCTAATTATATTGGAGATATTCTCCATTTTGTGTTCCAAATTGTCTACTGATTTCTGACCAAACTGCATCTTCCTTTAAAATTTCTCTTTTGATGGTCAAAGGATATGAGCAGGCAGTTTTCAGATGAAGAAATTAAAGCTATCTACAGTTATATGAAAAAATGCTCTAAATCACTATTGATTAGAGAAATGCAAATCAAAACAACTCAGAGGTACCTATCAGATTGGCTAACATGACAAAACAGGAAAATGATAAATTCTGGAAAAGATGTGGGAAAATTGGAACACTAACTCATTGTTGGTGGAGTTGTGAACTAATCCAACCGTTCTGGAGAGTAGTTTGGAACTATGCCCAAAGGGCTATAAAGCTGTGCATAGCCTTTGACCCAGCAACAGCACTTCTAGGTCTGTACCCCAAAGAGATCATACAAATGGGAAAAGGATCCACATGTACAAAAATATTTATAGGAGCTCTTTCTGTGGTGGCAAAGAACTGGAAATTGAGGAGATGCTTATAGGTTGGGAAATGGCTGAACAAGTTGTGGTATATGAATGTAATGGAATGCTATAAGAAATGATGAACAGGCAGACTTCAGAAAAACCTGTAAAGACTTATGTGAACTAATGCTGAGTGAAGTAAGCAGAACCAGGAGATCATTGCGCACAGTAACAGAAATGTTGTACAATGACTAACTTTGACAAACTTAGCTCTTCTCAACAACGCAAGGATCTAAGACAGCTCCAACAGACTCGTGATGGAAAATGCTGTCCACATCCAGAAAAAGAACCATGGAGTCTAAACGTAGATTGAAGCATATTATTTCCTCTCTTTTTTTTTTCATTTCTTCTCATGGTTTCTCCCATTGGTTCTAATTCTTCTTTACAACATGACTAATGTAAAAATAGGTTTAATATGAATGTAGATGTTGCGCCTATATCAATTTACATGCTGTCTTGGGGTGGAGGGAGGAGAGTTGTGCAATGACTAATATTGATAAACTTACCCCTTCCCAGCAACACAAGGATCAAAGACATCTCCAAAGGCCTCATGATGGAAAATGCTATCCACATCCAAAGAAAGAACTATGGAGTTTGAATGCAGATCGAAGCATACTATTTGCTATTTTTTTTTCTTCTGTTGAGTTTTGTTTCCTCCTTCTGGTGGTTCCTCCTATTGGTGCTAATTCTTCCTTGCAACATCACTAATGTGAAGATATGTTTAATAGGAATGTATATGTATAGCCCATATCAGATTGCATATCATCTTGGGGAGGGTGGTGGGGAGGAAGTGGGAGAAAAATTTTAAACTCAAAAGCATATGGAAGTGATTGTTGATAAATCAAAATAAATTAATAAAAAAAAGAAAATTTGAAACTTAAAATCTTATGGAAGTGAATGTTGAAAATTAAAAATAAATAATAAAAAATTTTTTTAATTTCTCTTTTGAACCATTCTGGAATTTACAATTATTCCATGATCTCTGGGGAACATACAGATTATATTTTCTTGCTCATTTTATTTTTACTGGGGATTTTTTTCCTTTTCCTTCAAAACATAATTTTTATTCATTATGTTATGATCTTTTCTAGAATGCTGGCTCATTTTCCCTTCCAATTTATGACTCTTGCTCTTGGCTTATCTGCTTGGAGGCTGAGATGATACCAAATTTTCTCTTTTAGGTCTCTTCTTCACCCCTTTCTCTTCCATTCCTGATTCCTTGAATGAGTCATTCTTACTATTTGGCCCCTTATTCTTCCACAGTATTTGTTTACGCATTCTGCTGTCCAGACTCTCAGGGCTAGTTGGCCTCTCAGCCTTCTTAAGTTGGGGCTAAAGTGTGAAGGTTGTCTGGGTTCCTGTTACATGAAGAGGAATACACCTCAGTCTTTAGCTGCCTTTTCCTCTATATAGAAGTGCCTTTTCACTTATGCAGTCTTTACTGCCATATTCTCTTTCTGTTCTGTTATTGGATAGCTACTTTATGCAGGGATTTTCTATTAAGTTCCTGACATGAACACAGAGGAACTACTTCAGCAAAACCCTGAAATGTAGGCATATTAGATTTCTTACAATTACACATGTAACATCGGGTGTTTAGGATGAACGGGAACATCAAGTAGTTTGACACTGTTCTATCTGAAGGCATTATATTAAGAGGAGTTGTTACCATCTTTTTTTCTTCTTGCAACATTTTTAATTATTACAGATTCCTGTATATTTCTTGATATATTTTGTTTATGGGGTGGGGGACATATGCTGAAAACAACTATACTGACATCTTTCTAATTACTTGGCTTTCAACTTGATCTACGTAAACAAACTGAACCTAAAAACAGGAAATGAATGGAAGAATAGACAATGACACAGATTTATAATAATTTCTTAAAGAAGTTCAACCAAAGCCAACCCCAAGTCTTAACTCAATCTAACGTGGAGTCTTCTCTTTTGTTGTGGTAGAATCCAGATGCCCCTTTTAATCCTCAAAGGTGCCACTATGTGCCTCAGTGTTGTTGTCAGCGTGAGTATATTGCCAATAGATTTCCATACATAGTAACATATGTGCCAATAAGTGACCATCTTAATTGCACACCTGCTTCCACTGTGTCCCTGTGACTGCCATGGAGTGAGTGATTATCCTCCCACAGGAAGGTGTGAAAGCTGCTTGACTCCTACCAGGATTGCACTGTATATGTAATGATCATCTACATAAATTTTGTATGTACAAAAATTTTCCTTTTTATTTGTCAGGTAAATATTTTTAAGAGTTATACTTACACAAATGAAATTATTATAATAAATACTTTTTTCATGTTTCATTGCCTGAATAAAAACTGTTTATTGTTGTTAAAAAAAAAAGAGTTCAACCAACATAAAAAGCTTTGAGCACTCCTCAACTACGAAACATTTCAGCTCTCAGCTGAGCAAAGACATATAGCAAAGAAAGGCAAGAGTGGTGTAGCATACCAATCTGTAAGACCTAATGGAGAATATTAGTGGAAGATTTATGAATAGCATTGCCTCATAAAAGTCAAAATCAGTGGTGGAATAGGCAAGTTTTGAGAAAGCTTGGTGTGGGCCCCAACAAAGCAAAGTGCTCAGAAAGCATTAAAAGGATGAAACTGGAAAGAAGATAACAAAGAAATGAATGGTAGAAAAGATCTATAAAGATTTCTTTCTTTTTTTTCTTTTTAATGAATGAATGAATGAATGAAAAGGCATTTTTAAGCACTTACCATTTCAAAGCACACAAACATAAAAGTCCCTACCCTCAAGAAGCCCAACTCTAGTTGGGAGAGATAACATATACCAGTGATTGGTGACCTGGTTTGCGAATTCACAGGGATGGTGAGTTGAGCCAGAGAGAAGTGAGAGTATTGACACACTTAATGATTTCTAGAACAAAATCTTCACCATCAAAGAAAGAAGAGACACTACCACATTTTTCTCTAATATCACATTATTATGCTACATCAGGAAACAGAAATGGTAGTAGGAGAAATAAAGATTAGCAGGACAGCTAGACCAGACCAAGATGACACCATTTTGAATGAGCTGAGCAATCAATTCTGAAAGTAGGGAGGCACCAAGGACATGGAAAAAATATGATAAAGAGACAGAAGGGAGGAAGAGAGAGGAGAGGTAGGCTAGAAACTGAGAAAAGGGTTGAAGGCACAAGAAGTGAAATGAAAAGGCTACAGATGAATTAGAGGAGTTGGAAGAAAACAAGATGCAAAGGGGACATACAGGAAAAGGCAAAGAGAAAAAAGGAAGTGAAAGTCATGTTGAAAAAGCAAGAATATAAGAAGCAGAGATAAAGTAAGAGATAAGGGTGGGCCCATTTCCTCATGTCCCTTCCTCAGAGGAATGAATCCTGCACTGAATCCACTGTGGCCTCTGGCCTCACCTTGTGAAGGAGGATGCTGATTTTGTTACCATTGGAGTTACATTTGATGGAGGAAATGCCGCCTATGCCCGGATTAACTCTGCCAGGTTCTTGCAGTTGCAATGCACTTTGGCCTCTCTGTGGAATCAAATAAAATTACTTCAACACAACTGTTATTATCATGTGTATTTAATATTCATTACTCAACGATGGGTAATACAACTCAGAAGATGAAGAAGGTCCACTGTCTATGACAGGACACTAGGTAGACAGATGATGCACAAGCCTAACTTATCAGTACATTAGTTCTTGCAGATCCTGAAAATGCCTAAGGGCTCAGATCTGAACAGGCAGTTGGGAACAGGCCGCTCTGGGTAATGGCACCATGTTTTTAATGGCCCCAAACTGCCTCTTGAATCAAAAGCCCACCTTTTAAGCAACAATGTTCTTTCAGCGCAGCTGTATAGCTATACTTCATGGAATATCAGTTTTCTACAATACATAACTGAAAACCGCTCAAAGGGCAAGGCAAGAAGCGCATGGTGGGTGTGAGCTACCAAGAACTGCACCGGATGGGTGGTGTAAAAGATAATCAGAAAGATGTAGGATCAGGAAAGAAGATGAACTGGCTTTGCACAGGAGTGAGAGATAACTATAGAATACCGTTTAGGCTCCATTGGTGGCTATGCAATGTCAAGGGATCAGAAGGCACCATGGCATAGTGGACAGAGTGCTGGGCATGGAGATAGGAAGACCTGAGTTCACATCTCAACATTATATCAATGATTCTGGGTGTGTCACTTAATCTTTCTCATCCTCCATTTCCACACATATAAAATGGGGGTTATATGTACAGCATAACCTCATAAGGTTGCTGTAAGGACTAAATAAAAGTGTAAATGAACACTGTGTAAATCTTAGAGAACTTTATGTTGCTGTTATTATTATCATTAGAGGAAGGAGCCCAGGAGGTTGGGTTGACACTCTATGGAAGACTTAAGGCAGATCACAGACAAGAGCTGCAAATGATAACCGGGGAGGAGGGAGTATTAATGATGAGACCCAACGAAGTATCCAAATATTAGGTCACAGAACAAATAGCTATTCATCTGGATAGTATGGGGCTTTTTTTTTCCATTGGGATGGGAGCTGTCAACAAATCAATTTCTAAATACTGAGTGGTAGCTATGTGCCCACCAACATACCAAAATCAGAAGACAAAATGAGTTTATGTTTAAAACTGTAATGCCCATCCTAAAATGTGGCATGAAAATATTCTTTGTTTTATCTTTCTACCCTCAAGGATATCTCACTTCTCTGACATAAAAACTAATAGCTTAAAAACCACATTCATATGTTTCTAAAATTGCAGCTGATTAATAAATGTCAGATAATCTGATTATATCATACTCTATAAGATATTTATAGATTCATACATGCAATTACACACTGTTTTGTTCTTAGAAGAAATAAAAAAATGGAAAAGATGGAAAGCAAAATTAAGGAAACAATAAATGGGTTTCTATGTTTTTTTAAATATAAAGATGGCTGCACGGTGGAAGGCAGTGGTGTAAAACTCAAATAGAAAAGGGGGCCACTGATCATTGATAAGGATACTTGAGAGACATGTGTTGACATAGTTTTAGAATGCAATTTAATCTGCATTTTATTGTATCTTTATTTATTTTGTCAACTATTTCCCAATTATATTTTAATCTGGTTTCGGACATGCTTAGGAGGATCATAGACTGTGTGTTCAATACCTCTGGTAGTGGAAAGAATGCTAGATCTGAATTCAGAGGACCTGGATCTAAAAATGGGCTTCTGTGTACTCCCTGTCTGACTTTGGACAAGTGACTGAACCTGACTGGATTCAATTTCCTTTTCTGTCACCCAGCTAGGAGCTGGACTCTGAGACCCCTTGCAGGTCCAATCCTATGATCTATTAAATCTATACTTGAACAGAGTTACTTTTCCAGGAGGGATAAGTTTATCCTTATCCAGTTTTTTTGTCTCTGTCACCTGTTGTAAACAATAGCAGAAATTCAGAAGACGTAGGTGAGTCAGGAGACTGTCCACAGCCACAGATTTCTAACCCGTGATTGTGGCCATGTTAGTACTGAGATAATTAGAACGAGTATTTACACAACATGCAAACCTTGCCTAGAATCCTAGTATATATGTAGTATGTTAAGCTGGAAGGAGAAATCATTCAGTCCAGCTCTCTCAGGCAAAGCAATTAGGTAGCCAATGGATGATGTGCTAGACTTAAAGTCATACTAGCTGTGTTACCCTGAGTAAATCACTTAACCTCTCTCTGCTCCATTTCCCTCATCTATAAAATGGGGATAATCATAGTAGCTATCTTGCAGGGTTATTATTAAGATCAAATGAGATATTTGTAAAATACTTTAAAAACTTTAAAGTGCTATGTAAATTCTAGCTCTTATTATTTTTCAAATCAGAAAACTGAGGCCCAAATAGATTAGGTGATTTGTCCAAGATAACAGTTAGCTAGTGTACAAAACAAGAACTAGAACCCAGACCTTCTGACTCCTAGTCCAGGATTGTTTCCATTATATCATACTGGCTCTCTGTCAAAGTCTTAAGATTATCTCACACAGGTGAAAAGATTAAGAATTTAAGCTAAGAGGTAAAAATTACATAGTAAGCCAAAAGTGGCTCCAAAACCTGAGAGGTCTGTTCCTGGCTCATCTCTCAGTTTTTTCTCTCCTGTCTCTTTGTTGTTCGGTCATTTTCAGTAGTGCCTAACTCTTTCTCACCCTTTTGGAGTTTTCTTGGCAAGGATACTGGAGTGGTCTGCCATGTCCTTTTCCAATTCATTTTATAGATGAGGAAACTGAGGAAAAGAGGGTTAAATGACTTGCCCAGGGTCACACAATTAGTAAGAAGAATCTGAGGCTGGATTTGAACTCAGGAAGATGAGTCTTCCTGACTCTGGGCCCAGCACTCTATGCACTATGGCACCACCTAGCTTCCCTGGCTTATCTCCCAGTTTTTTCTGTCCTGTCTCCTAAACAAGTTCAAACACGACATAAACTCTTATTTGGGCATCAATAGTACCTTCGGGAGAGATCAAAACTTTTAAAGTGAGCCAAGTCTGTTCCTACGACCAGGAAATTCCCACAGACATCCAAGGAGCATGGGTTTCCCTCTGTCTCTGAAAACATTAGCAGCTGTTTGACAGTTCCCTAAGGAAAAAAGAAAAAAGAAAAAAAATCATCGAAGGAATTAAAGGAAGGGTGCTTTGCATTCTTACCAGTCAGTCAGGAAACTCTGCCTCATTTGATTCTCTAGACATGTGGGTTTTACTATTAGTGTTCCACGTGGCTATGAGAGTGAGCCTAAATACTTGGTGCGGGGGTGTGGAGATGATGTTTCTTTGCAATTTAAGGCAATTCATTCCTCTCTTTAAAGACTAAGGTGAAGTGAGGCAGTTCCTTTTTAAGTTGACTGACACTGTTCCTCCAAGTTCATTTTAATTTGACTCATGGGCATATATGTGTTTTAACAAAGATTATTAGAAAGTAATAAGAAAAGGGTAATTACATATTTGCTTCAATTTCTTTTAGCATTGGAGTTTAATTTAGGTTCATATTATTCCAGCCATATTTATGTATGTTTCCTATGATCTACTAGTATGCATGGATTTGAAATGTAATTGCTTTTGAGAAGAAAAAATTTTTTAAAAATCTACAACTCATTATCCTTTATAATGCCCATGATTTTTTAAATAGTATTTTATTTTTTCCAGTTACACATAAAGACAATTTTAGCATGCATTTTCTGAAATGTATATTTTAATACATTAATATTTTCAGGATGGATAATTTTGAAAACGTCATAAGCTGATAACAAAATAAGTAGAACCAAGGGAGCAATCTACATAACAGCAATACTGTAAAGACAAACAACCTTGAAAGCTGTGAGAACTATTAGCAATACAATGACCATCCATGACTTCAGAGGACTAATGATGAAGCATACTATCTGCTTCTTGATAGAGAAGCAAAAGATTTAAGGTAAAGAACTTTACTTATTACTTCTTTACATAAAGATCTCTCTCTATACAGCCAATGTTTTACTGGACTATACATATTTATTACAAGGAATTAGTTTGTTTTCCCCTTTTTTCTCCTTTTTTTGATTTTAATTTCCTTTTTAAATTAGTAATTCAGAGCACTTTTTAAAGATTAATTAATTTTTAGTTTTCAATATTCACTTTTATAAGATTTTGAGTTCCAAATCTTTCCCCCTCCCCAAAATGGCATGCAGTCTGACATAGGCTATACAAGTATAATCATATTAAACATATATCAACATTAGTCATGTCGTGAAAGAAGAATCAGAACAAAATGGGAAAACTATAAGAAAGAAAAAACAAACAAAAAAAGAGAAAATAGCGTGCTTCCATAGTTCTTTCTCTGGATGCGGAAAGCATTTTCCATTGTGAGTCTTTTGGAATTGTCTTAGATCATTGTATTTTAGTATGTATTTTAAAAAATTTTTTGAATTCCAAATTTTCTCCCGCCCTCCCTAAGATAGTTAGCAATTTTAATACAGGTTATACAATCATGAAAAACATATCAGTCATGCTGTGAAAGAAAAAAGATCAAAAGGAAAAAATTGCAAAAAATTAAAGTGAAAATAGTAGGCTTCGGGGGCAGCTAAGTGGTGCAGTGGATAGAACACTGGCCCTGAAGTCAGGAGCACCTGAGTTCAAATCCAGCCTCAGACACATAATACTTACTAGCTGTGTGACCCTGGGCAAGTCATTTAACCCCACTGCCTAGCACAAAATTAAAAAAAAAAAAAGAAAATAGTAGACTTCAATCTGCATTGACTCCATCAGTTCTTTCTCTGGATGTGAATAGCACTTTCCATCATGAGTCCTTTGGAAATGTCTTGGATCACTGTATTGCTGAGAAGAGCTAAGTCGTTCATAGTTGACTATCATACAATGCTGTTGTTACTGTGTACCATTCTCCTGGTTCTGGTCACCTCACTCAGCATCAGTCCATGTAAGTCTTTCCAGGTTTTTCTGAAAATCTGCTTGCTCATCATTTCTTATTCTTCCATTACATTCATACACCACAACTTTAGCCATTCCCCAATTGATGGGCATCCCCTCAATTTATGATTCTTTGCTACCACAAAAAGAGCTGCTACAAATATTTTTGTATAAATAGATCCTTTCCCCTTTTTTAAAAAAACCTCTTTCAGATACAGACCTAGTAGAGGCATTGCTGGATCAAGACATATGCACAATTTGATTGTCCTTTGGCCATAGTTCCAAATTGCTCTCCAGAATTGTTGGATCAGTTCACAACTCCACCAATTAGTGTCCCAATTTTCCCAAATCCTCTCCAACATTTATCATTTTCCCTTTGTTGTCATATTAACCAATCTGATAGGTATGAGATGGTATCTCAGAGTTGTTTTAATTTGTACTTCTCTAATCAATAATGATTTAGAGCATTTTTTCATATGACTATAGATAGCTTTGATTTCTTTGTCTGAAAACTACCTGCTCATATCCTTTGACCATTTATCAATTGGGGAATGACTGGTATTCTTTTAAATTTGACTCATTTCTCTATATATTTGAGAAATGAATCCTTTATCAGACACCTGCTGTAAAAATTATTTCCCAGTTTCTGATTTCCTTCAAATCTTGATTTGCCCATGATTTTAAAATAATCTTTTGTATGCAGTTTTGTAGTTTACTTAACATAATACATTTTCTTTACATTTTATTAATATTAGATTTTATCAGGGATTTTTTTTTAAGTAAAAATAACTATATGCAACATCCTCACCCCCCCAGCAATGACAGGTTAGGTCTGCAGATGGACGGCTACCACCATTCTCAGGGTTCTAGGGATGACCATAATACTGTAGTTCATGAACTCTTATTTGTATGTTCCCCCTTAGCATTCAGCCAATAGATTCAATTAGCTTTTCATAAAAGCCAATTACTCAAATATCTTAGCAAGAATAATAGTTAACAAGATGTTTTCCCCAAACCTGAGGTACAGTATCCCACAAATCCACACAGTCTGTGAAGGGAAGAGTTGATATGAACTTCGAGAACAACGGTAGTGAAGCATAGATTTTGGGAACATACAATGGTCATGGTAGCTCACAACTCTATAACTGTAGGGCCTCAATGGTCTTCTTTTCTGGGGGGTTCTCATACAATTCTCTTTGGGGCATGTTAGGAGTGATCATAAGTCCCTTGGCTGCTTTGCTAGGTAGCTCCTTCCTTGAAGGACACAGCCTCTCTGCTGAATGGGCAGCCATTGCAGGGTGAGGCCAAGCACATGGCCTGTCTACCTGCTGGCATTACCCTGGGCTCATTTATTTCTGGGCTAGGCCAGGCTGGGCCCTCAGATTCTGGGCAGTACCTGCCAGACTGCGATAGGTAAGACAGAGAGGTGCTGGCCTGCAGCTTCCCTGGCTGGACTAGACAGACTGCTCAGTCACTGGGTTCTTCTCAAGGCATAGTTTCTTTGCATGGGTCCATCTGCCAGATTCTCTGTGCTCAGTCTTCAAAGGGCAGCAGTGGTCTGTATGACCTCAAGTCAGTGACTTAGCTAAGTGTGACAGTTCTCTTCTCAGCTGGAATGTTACAAAACGCTTTTCAGCAAGGCCAATGACATTTGGCCTAGGATTGGCAGAAGTCAACCTCCTCTTTCATCTGTTCTGAAGGTGGGGGGCTTCAGGCATGGGGTTTGAGAGGTCTAGCCTCTCTTATTAAACAAACCTTCATGGTCAAAGGTAGCTTCCTTCAGTGAGGGATTCCACTTTACCCCAGGTTTCAGACTTCTGTTGGATTTTATGCAGAGGAATATCTGGACATTTAACTACTGAAGTAGTCTGTGTGCGGCAGTGAATTCATTATCTCACATAGTTGAACTGTTCAAGCCTCAGACTATTTCTGGGACAGAGAATGCTTGGCACCTGAAAGAGCTTTCCTTTTCTATTTTAATGCTTGTTTTGCCCCTTACAGACATTCAGCCTTCTTGAAGTCTAAAACAGAAAAATCATTCTATCGTCCTTACACTTCATGAGACTATCATAAAAAAGAATACTACAAAAGCCTGTGATTACAGTGATAAGAAAAATGCATCAGTGATAAGTACCTAATAATTATCACATAAGATTAAGTGACCCACTGATCTTCCTTCTCTACACTGCTATATAGTGTAGGCTGGTTCAAAAGGAATACAATATCAAGAAGATGAATAGAGGATAACACGTCAATTAAAAACTCTGGGTAAGCTAACATTTCTAGTTTTAGAAGGTGGGAAAAAAAGACCATCAGTAGAAAACCATATGCTGTCCTTCCAGACAAATGATCAAATGCTATTCAGTATTAATAAACCTGTTCACTCACTTAGATTTTCATGATTTTTACCTATCACTTCTCATAGGTTAGGAAGACAGTTTAAGTATAATATGTTATAATTATAGGAATGGAGACTAGAAAGGAGATACCAGCATCCCAATAGACCCACCAAATTCCTCGATCACCTCAATCCAGTGGGCAAGTGCCTCAATATAAAGGCAGTTAGCATCTGTCAGCAGATGGCTATGTCTGTTACTACTCCATATGGCAGTGAGGGTCAAACCTGCTCCATTACTCCCCGTACTTTAACAATGTATTTTGTTTGTTTGTTTGTTTTTTGGTTTTTGCCAGGCAATGGGGTTAAGTGACTTGCCCAGGGTACACAGCTAGTAAGTGTTATGTGTCTGAAACCGGATTTGAACTCAGGTCCTCCTGAATCCAGGGCTGGTGCTCTATCCACTGCACCACCTAGCTGCCCCAACAATGTATTTTGTTAAGGGTGGAGGGCAGATTATGGGAAAAGATGGCTGGCCCTGTACTGCCTGTGAAGGTTCAGATATGTATACAGAAGGCAACCCCAACCATGGAGTTTAGAAGCAGCTAGGGGCATAACTGACAGAGCACTGGGTCTGGGAAACAGAAAGAACTGAGTTCAAATCCTACCTCTGACACATCACTTAACAGCAGTCTGCCTATAATTTCCTCATCTATAAAACAGAGTTCATAATAGCACTTACCTCCTAGGGTTGTCGTGAGGATCAAATGAAATCATATTTGCAAAGTGCTTAGCACAGTGCCTGGCACATAGTAAAAGCTTAATAAATTATTGTTCCCCCTCCCCCAACCTCTTCTACTCCCTCAAACATTGCCCTTTCCTTTAAAAAATGAGCTGCTTCTTTTAAACACCTAGTTCTGACCCATCCAGAATTCAGTCTCTCTCTTCCCTCAAATTTCTCACCATTCAAACAAAGCCAGATATTCTGTGCTCGGCTAGAAGCACCAATTTAAAGGATACTAGTTGGGGGTTAGGGGAGGGAAGACCCACTTTAGAAATGTTCCTACTTAAGGGTCAGAAGAGATCCCCCCTTCCACTAGAAAAGGCTCCAACTCTAAGGCCAACTATACTTTCAATCCTGACATTTAACTCTGTGCAGAAGCCACACAAGCTATACGTGATCTGGGATCCTTTTGCCCTCCTATAATAATCTGCTAACCAAAAAATTGTTAAGAATCTGTATTTTAAGGAAATGTGGTCATTTGTGTTTTACAAAAAGGAAGTTTCTTGTGTAAGGCATAACTATGCAGCAAAGGTGGTTTTATAAAATAGCAGGTGTAAATTAATGATGAATGGATGTAAAATATAATTTACTAAAAAGAAACAGACGTTTATTTTGTCTAAAGTAGTCACACTGTATAAATTTTAAAAACTGAAACATGATGAGGTGAATTGGATATGAGAAAATATAAACAAGGTTTTGGTACAATTCAGAAACAGGCTTCTACTCTGTCTAATACTCCGTATCAGCACTTCCCACTTCCATCTTATCAGCAATTTACCTGCCAAGTGCGAACTTGAACTCGATTTGGCTCTACTGTATAAACATTTTCTTCATGCATTGCCAGCACAGGAGACTCACATGGGAAGGAACCTTAAAAAATAGAAACAGTATGTTAGAACTAAGATGATTCATTAATCAAGATGTCTGTTTATTTCTCTTTTGAAATATGGTGCAGTTACAAAGGCATTATCAATCAATCAGGCTCTCAGGTAAGGATTGACTGAGATGATCTTTAAGGTTCTTTCCAAGTCTCAGATTCCATATTTCTATTAGAATTCATTGAAAATTGCTAGGTGTGGGCAGCTAGGTGGTACAGTGGATAGAGCATTGGCCCTGGAGTCAGGAGAACCTGAGTTCAAATCCAGCCTCAGACACATAACACTAGTTGTGTGATTCTGGGCAAGTCACTTAACCCTAACTGCCTCCCCATCAAAAAAAATTGCTAGGCACTATGATGGATATTAAAAATATATAAGAAATGCTCTATGCCTTCAAAAAGAAGACAATTGGGGAGATAAGACTAATGTCCATGAAAGAGAAAAAAAACACAAAATGTCATATAATTAACTGAAATAGATTCAACAAATATTAGTTGAGTATCTATTATATGCAAAACATTTGGGCAGTTCCTGTGAGAAATTATGAAGACATGGTCCCTAACATTATATGATACAGACCATCTGTTGTGTGGTTTATGATAAAATTCAATTTAACAAACATTTATTAAGTGCATAGTTTACTTTGGGTACTGTGGGTAGAAGGGAGAAATAAATGTGTGTTGCAACATCTTATTAAGATTTCATGGCTTATTAACCCCTGAAAGCCCAGAAAATATCACCCCAGAAAAAACTCTGGAACAGATGAACCAGAAGGAAGATGGGGTGCAGCAGTCCAGTAGCCCAGGTAGCTTGAGGGATTAACTGGAAAGGCTCTTCTTACCCTGGGGGAAAGGGAGCAGTACAGAATGTGAGGCATCCCAGCAAGCTAGTGGAAAGCCCCACCTCAGCACACCAGGAGGAGATCCTGAAGGCCAGGTGGTGGAGCAGGCAAACACCAACATCTTGACCCTGAGTGTCTCATTGAGGGCAGGCGAACCAGTGGAAATCAGCTCAAAAAACCACCAGGTGCCTCAGCATTCTACAGCAACAGGCTCTCCCAGTGGCTCAGCAAAACTAAGGGAAGTAGTGCTCTCAGGGGCCCCAGGCAGATAAACACCCTACAACATCCATCTGAAAGGAGCTGAAGAAAGCAAAAGGAAAGAAAGGCCTGGGTGAGCAGGAAATCTCTAGGAGCCACACTACCCAATCCTACCCCTAGAGTTCCAGTGTTGCTGATTCTAGCCCAGGTAAGCTGCCAGAACCCTACAGCCTCCAACTGCCAACAGTGGAGGGCCCCAGCACACAAAGCCATCGACCAGGATCCCAACATAAGAAGCTTGGGTCAGTGCCCTCTGCTCCCCAGCAGGAGAGACCAATCTCTTTAAAGGCCAGGAAATAAATAAACACCATGAGCAAAAAGAAACGTATGATAGAGTCTTATTATGGGAAGAGTGAAGATCAAGGCAGAAATTCTGAAGAGGACAACATTGTCAACAAACCCACATCTGGAACCTCAAAAGGGAATATGAACTGGTCTGAAGCCCAAAAAGCCTTCTTAGAAGAGCTCAAAAAGGATTTTAAAAGTCAAATGAGAGAGGTAGAAGAAAAAATGGGAAAAGAAAAGAGAGGTATGCAAGAGAGTCAATACCTTGGAAAAGGAAGGACAAAAATTAACTGTAGAAAACAAGTCCTTAAAAAATACAATTGGCCAACTGGAAAAAAAGTACACTGAAATAAAACAAGTCCCTAAAAAATACAATTGGCCAAATGGAGAAGAAGGTACAAAATCTAATAGAAGAAAACAATTTGTTAAAAATTAGAATTGAGCAAATGGAAGCTAATGACTCTATGAGAGAGCAAGAATCAGTCAAACAGAAACAAAAGAATGAAAAAATAGATGAAAATGTAAAATATCTCATTGGTAAAACAACTGACCTGGAAAATCAATCCAGGAGAGACAATTTAAAAATTATTGGTCTACCTGAAAATCACAATGAAAAAAAGAGCCTGGACAGTATCTTTCAGGAAATCATAAAGGAAAACTGCCCTGAGGTCCTAGAACCAGAGGGTAAAATAGCCATAGAAAGAATCCACCATCACCTCCTGAAAGAGATCCCAAATTGAAAACAAGGAAATAGTAGCCAAATTCCAAAATTACCAGGTCAAAGAGAAAATACTGCAAGTAGCCAGAAAGAAACAATTTAAATATCATGGAACCACAGTCAGGATTACACAGGACCTTGCAGCTTCTACATTAAAAGACCATAGGGCATGGAATATGATATTCCATAAGGCAAAGGAGCTTGGATTACAACCAAGGATCAACTACCCAGCAAAAATGAGCATGATCTTTCAGGGGAGGAGATGGATATTCAAAATAGGGGACTTCCATACCTTCCTGATAAAAAGACCAGAGCTCAACAGAAAATTTGATCTTCAAATACAAGACTCAAGAGAGACATAAAAAGGTAAACGGGACAGAAAGTAACAACATGTTATTAATAAGGGCAAACTCTTTACATCCCTACAAGGGAAAATGACACTTGTAACTCTTGAGAACTGTATTGTTATTACACCACGTTAAAGGGATATACATAAAGGGGGTGGGTATAAATTGACTTTGATGTAATGATGAAAAAATATCTAATCAAGTGGGTTAAATGGATCCAAGTAAGTGAATTAATCTGATCTAAGAAAATGTACTAAGAGAAAAGGAAAGGAGGAGTCAGACAAGGGTAAATTACATCACAGGAAAAGGCACAAAAACCTATTACAGCAGAGGGAAAGAAGGGAGGGAGATGAGCATTGTTTGAACCTTACTCTCATCAGATTTGACTTAAGAAGGGAATAACATAATCAGTTAGGTACAGAAATCTAACATGCCCCATAGGCAGTAGGAGGGAAAAGGAAGGGAGCTAGGACTGAGGGAGGCGGTGGTCAAAAGTAAAACATTAGTGAGGAGGGAAAAGGAGAAAGGAGAAAGAAAAGCATAAACAGACGAAGAAAAGGATGAAGAGAAAGACACAGATAGTTATGATTGTGAATGTGATATATGAATGTAATGGAATACTATTGTGCTATAAGAAATGATGAACAGCCAGACTTCAGATAAACCTGGAAAGACTCGTATGGTTTGATGCTGAGTGAAGTGAGCAGAACCAGGAGAATGTCGTACACAGTAACAGCCACATTGAGTGATGACTGACTTTGATAGACTTAACCCCTCTCAGCAATACAAGAATCTAAGACATCTCCAAAAGCCTCATGATGGCAAATGCTATCCACATCCAAAGAAAGAACTATGGAGTTTGAATGCAGATCAAAGCATACTATCTGCTGTTTTTTTTCTTCTGTTGTGTTTTGTTTCCTCTTTCTGGTGGTTCCTCCTAGTAGTTCTTACAACATCACTAATGTGAAAATATGTTTAATAAGAATGTATATGTATAGCCTATATTAGATTGCGTGCCATCTTGGGTAGGGAAGTAGGGAGTGAGGGTGAGAAAAATTTAAAACTCAAAAGCTTATGGAAGTGATTGTTAATAAATCAAAATAAATTAATAAAAAAAAAAAGATTTCACAGCCTAAGTATGCTTGGATAAGAAAGGGGGCAAAACATCTAGGGTAGAAGGAAAAGCATGAGCAAGGACAGGCAAGCAGATAGGAACATGGCACACACAGGGGACAGTGCTGTGGTAGGAACAACTCTTATTTTAGGCAGGATAGGCTGGTCCTTTAAGTGGGCAGGGAGGCCCTTTTGCTTACAACAATGTGTGAGGGGTGGATATAAGTGGCAAGCAGTGGGGTCTAGTGTATAAAGCACAGAATGTACAGTCAAGAGATCTGGGTTTGAGTTACAGCTGTGATACCTGCCAAGCCATTTTATCTTTATCTATCTATCTATCTATCTACCTACCTATCTATCTATCTATTGCGAGGCAATTGGGGTTAAGTGACTTGCCCAGGGTCACACAGCTAGTAAGGGTCAAGTATCTGGTTTGAGACTGGATTTGAACTCAGGTCTTCCTGACTCCAAGGCTGGTGCTCTATCCACTGTGCCACCTAGCTGTTCCCCCACTCCCTTCCCCACCAACCCATTTTATCTCTAGTAAGTCCCTTAATCAAGGCATGTATCTGGTTTTCACAGCTCCAATTATTAGGAAAAATCTCCTAGAATTGAGCTAAAATCCATCTCTCTGCAACTTCAGCTCACTGCTTCTATTCTGCCCTTTGGAGCTAATCAGAAGTCTTACCCTTCTTCCAATGATCACCCTTCAAAAACAGTTGTCATGACTCCACTAAGTTTTCTTTTCTCTTGCCTAAAAATTCCCACTTTTAAATGATTCTCACATGACATGGGCTCGAGTGCCCTCACTTTCTTGGTCACCCTATTGGACATAATCCAGCTTATCATTGTCTTTCCAAAAATGTGTGCCATTTCAAATGTGGTCTGATCAGGGCAGAGTACACGTAGAACTATCACCTCCTTTATTCTGGAAAATGTCTTTTTTAATGGTGTATAAGATCACATTAGTTTTCTAAGACTCCATGTCACACTGCTAATTTATATTGAGTTTGCTGTCCACACAAACCACCAGATCCCATTTTCCTTCTCCGCAAAATTGACCTCTCTTCCACACTTCCCTTTGTCTACTGAAGGCACTACCATCTTTCCAATATCCCTGGTTTGTCCTCAATGCCTCACTCTTCCTCAACCTACATTAAATTGGTTGTCAATCTCGGCATCTTTCTCTTGGTGATCCTATTAGTTCTCGTGGTTTAAATATCATCTCTCTACAGAACTACAGGTCTATATATCCAATCTGGTCTCTCCCCTAAGCGGCAGTTCTGCCTATTAGACATTTCAAATTTATGTCCTAGAGATATCTCAAACTCAACACTTCCAAAAAAGAACTCATTATCTTCCCCTCCAAATCCATGCTTCTAAACTTCTCTATTTCTCTTGAAAGGACTACCATCCTCATGCTCTCCCAG